GCGCCATAGCTAGGTAGTACTAGAGAGAGAGAGAGAGCTTGGGCGGAGGCCAGAGTTACCTACCTGCAGCGCCGTTGCCCCAGCTTCGTCTTCAAGGTACCTGCAGCACAGCGCCGACATCACAGGTTAGTATCTGGTTCGTAACAGAGAGAGAGAGAGTTCTTCTTCTTCCTCTTCTCAGTCCAGCATCTCTTCTCTCCCTCTCAACTTCTGACTTCACTGCATCTGCAGACTATGAGAGAAGAGATACAGAGCTTGGTGACATTTGATCCAGACTCGACTTTTGGGGGTTCAGACATGGCAACGACGGACTATTTGGGATTGGTGACCAAGACTTGGTGTTAACGACATTCCCATCCTTCTCCCTCCTTTCGTCTGATCCTTATCTCTTCGTCTGTGTATGTCTGGACCTGGCGCTTTCTTCCTGTGTACAGCGCCAGGCTCCTTCACACTTGGTGATGGATACCATGCATGTTTAGTCTGAGTTCAAACATTGATTGGGCTAGTTAGTAGTACTCTAGCATTCTGCTTCGCTACTCTGAACAACGTGAATGAGGTCAGTCCTGTCAGGTCAGTCTTTGTATCAAAGTCTTCCCTGCGCTATTCAGCACCTTTTGTATGTATGAGAATGCACATTGTCTGTCGAGACTCTACTCGCACTGTATTGTCCATTCAGTCCTTTTCATCACATTGCAGTTCCTCGGTTATTACGTACATTGCATATCTGTGCATGTAACACTGGCCTGGGCTGCCTCACTTCTTTTATGGAAGTGGCAGCCTCCTCGATGCTGTGTGTGGCCTGGCTGGAAGCTTCCAGTAGCTTCCGGTTGGGCCTCAGACCCTGTGCCCAGGCCCGAGACTACAGTTGAGGGCCTGGGCCCTTTTCAGTTGGGCACGGACTGAGTCTCCGGACTTGGACTGTTTGCTGCATCTGTGCAGGGCTCCCAGGTAGGTGTGTCGGCAGTACTGCTTTTCCAAAGGCCGATGGCCTGCTTCCCAACGTATTGGCCCTGCTTTGTGTGTCTGTGCCCAGGGGCAACTGTCAAGGCCTGGGCCAACTGTACGACGGAGCTTAGTGAGGCTCACACGTCTACCCAACCAACTGGCGTGCTGCGAGAGCCTGAATACCCACATATGGAAATGTCGAAATTTGGCTTCCGCTGAATATTCAGGCCCGCCTTCACTTAGGGCGGACACTCGGCTTGCTGGGTCGTTAGCCCAGAACATGTGATGTCTGATAGGGCCCCTTGAGGGCTCGTTCCTCACACATAACCACTGTTTGTCGATTAAACCACCAGTCCATCCGAAGCTAAATTGACGAACCAAAAAAAGCATTTTGCCGAGAATAAAAGTGACCAGTACCAATAAAAAATAAAAAAAAAGTGACTGGTACCAGCCATTAGAAAAATCAACACGGTACCGGTACCGGCCTCTGTATTAGTGAAACGTTTAGGGCCTGAGGTTACGGCTCATCCGTTGCCCTACTGGTCCAGGGCCGGTACTTGTACACGAAAACGGACAAACAGTAAAACTTCTGATGGACTGGTGGTTGAATCCACCACTAAAATTTTGGGGTAGAGTTCCTTGAGAAAATTCTGTGGTGGCAGGATCGACCATCGGACAAACCAACAAGAAGTTCAAGAACAGTGAAAAAGAAAAGGGAAAAAAAAGACAAGGAGCTGCACGGTAACCACCCTGAGTCCACCCCAATACCGGCTTCAACCAGCACATCAAACAAATCTGTGCTTTTTCTCCCATTGTGGGAGATTTGGCGGACTCGGAAATATACCCTGAGCGAGGGCATGAGACTCTGCCCATCATACTCACACTACCATCTTCACCCGAATATAACGCCTGGTCATTATAGCCGTATTTGGGGCCATTTTCCCGTCCAGATGCAGCGATAATGACCGGGCGTTCTATTCGGGTGAAGACAGTAGCTCTCTCCAAAAAAATGGATTTGACGGAACTTTTACCTGTGTTAAACTCTGTGCCGCCCGGCGGCCCAGCCTCCGTCCGGCAGGGGTCCCGGGCGGCCCGGCCGGCTGGGTCCCCCGGTTTGACACCGGGCGGGCCCAGCGCATTTTTGTGCAGGGGGGCGGGGAGGCCTTTTTCGATGTTTTTTCGCGATCGCCTCCCCGCCCCCCCGCTCAAATTCTTCTGCCGACTGCACATTCGTTCGGGTGGCCGTTGAATTCGAACGTCGAGTTCGTGCTGCCCGTCGAAGTGCTCTTGGGACTGCCCGCCGAAGAGGTTCCCGTCGATGCCCGCCTTCGCCGACGTGCCCGCCATCGATGCCCGTCGTCACTGCCCACAGCCGCTGCCCGTTTCCCAGCTCGTTGTCGCTGCCCGCCGTCAGAAAGCTGCCCCGTCGTCGTCGATACGGTACCGTTGCGCGAAGTGCCACGTGTCAGGCTCTCTCTCTCTCTCTCTCTCTCTCTCTCTCTCTCTCTCTCTCCTCCTCCTCCTCCTTCGCCATCCTCTTCTTTTTTTTTGGTGGACGTATCACGAAACCGGCAGGTCCTTCTCCTCCTCCTCCTCCTTCCTTCATCCTCTCCTCTCCTGCTCCTTTGTCCTCCTCCTCCTCCCTATTTCGTTAGTTTTCTTTATCGGGCGAAGTGCCACGTGTCAGTCTCTCTCTCTCTCTCTCTCTCTCTCTCTCTCTCTCTCTCTCTC